CAAGTAAATAATTAAACTGGAAACTCTCGGCTGGTAGGATAAAGAAGAGGATTTAGCAGGTGATGTGATTTTGGCTGAGAGGGTGTCCTCTTATTTCCATTCTGCTCTTTTCCCATGTAATAGAAAACCCTGGACTCATGACTTCCTAGAATAAAGACTACGTCTCCCAGGCTTCATTGGAGCTAGGTATTGCCATGTGACTTAGTCCTGACTAATGGGGCATAAGGAGAAGTAACAGCCAGGAAATGTCCTTCAAGTCCAGGCACATATTTCTTATTTATTTATTTATTTATTTATTTATTTATTTAGTATTTTTTTTTTTAATAGAGGCATGTTTTTTTATTTATTTATTTTGTTTGTTTGTTTTTGTTTATACATGCACTGGGTACAGTCAGAAGTGCGGGAGGGTGAGAGAATTCACCAGAGCCAGAGCGGGGAGCAGAGCAGGCAGAGGGACCGAAGTACACTGCTGAGGGGAGCAGCGGGCAGCAGGAGAGGTCTGCGCGCCATGTGGGACCCTCCTCTGGTGGCCGGGGAGCAGCCGGGGATCGAACCGGCACCGCAGAGGCCGCGGGCAGCTTCGCAACCCAGCGCTCAACCGCTGCGCCACCGGGGAGGCCCCAGGCACATATTTCTTTCTCTGTTCACCCTGCTGGCTGGAATGCAGAGGTGATGGCTGAAGCTCAAGCAGCCTCAGGGAACCATGAAGAGAAAGCCACCTGTTGAAAATGACACAGGACAGGGGCCTCCCTGGTGGCACAAGGGGTTAATATACTGCACTATGAAGCTATCTGCAGCCACTGCAGCACAAGTTCGATCCCCGGCCAGGGAGGTCACCCACATGGCACAGCATACCTCTCCTGTCTCGCCCGCTGCTCCCCTCAGCAGTGTATTTCAGTAGATCTGTTCTGCTCCCCACTCTGTCTCTGGTGAATCCTCTCAACCTCTGCATCTCTGGTCTGTACCCCAGCTCTTGTCTCTTGTATGCATAAACAAATTTAAAAATCTTAAAAAAAAAAAAGACACAGGACAGAAGATGCCTGGGCAGGCCCACCCCACTCCCACCCCCAACCTTGCAGAGCACCGTACAGCTCAGGAGATGGACTAGTGAGAAATAAACTCCTGCCTTGGTTAAGCCACTGAGATCTGGGGCTTTCTTTCACACACAGCCCAGCCTGACTTTCAGTGGTGCAGTGGCTGGAGGCAGCTCTCACTGGGTGGTGGTGGAAGGCTCCTTGCAGGGGGTAACATTTGACCTGAGGCCTGAACGTGGAAAGGAGCCAGGCCTGAAGAAACCAGGAAGGGGCATCCAGGTGGGGTGCGGTGGGGGAGATAGGCAGGGATGGTGATAGCACCTCAGCAGAGCAGAAAGAGGGGTGAGCAGAGGGCAGGGGAGCCCAGGCTAGGGCATGGGTATCACTTTGTTTATACCATGAAGGTCTTTGTGTAGGGAGAGCTGTCATTGGATGTGTGTTTCTGGAAGGTAACTGCTGAGTGGCACCTGCATTGTACAGGGGCCGAGGGAGGCCGGGTAAGACTCCTGGAGTGTTGGGGGAGCAAGATGGTGGGCCCAAGGAGAGACAGTGGGGATGGACAGAAGAGGATGGAGAGGTGACAGCAGAGTAATAGGACGGCCGTGGCTGGAGCAGGGCGAGGGAGAGAGAAGAATCAGGGAGCACCTTGGTTTGGGGCATGGGGAATCCAGTGGGTGAAGACTGGAGGAGGCCCTGGGTTGTTTCTGTGCTTGTTTGTGTTGAGAGGAAAAGGTTAGAGTTAAATAAGACTATGGATGTGTCACTGTGCTGCCACTCTCAAATATTAACTGTCTCTGTGCTTTCAGCATTGGGGTGAGGGATAGATTTTTTTTTACCAATTCCACTCAAAGTCAATAAACACATATGAACAGGCACAGTGGACAGAATCCGGGCTGGGTTGCAGGGACTGAGTGGTGGTTCCTGTCCTGGGCTCACAGTCTGTGGAGAGAGATTCGGGACTGTGGCTCTTCCAGCAGTGCATGGATAGGCCGTGATAAGTGGGCTCAGGGCTGAACCCCTCAGTCTGCCGGGGCTGAATCCTAAAACCCCACCAGGCCTGCGAGGGCTGAATGCTGAAGGTCGCAGGTTAGGTCCAGCAGATGTGAAAGGAAGGTGCTCAGAAGGGAACATGTAAAACCCCAGAAGCCAAGGAAGCATGGAACCTTCTAAGAAGGGCCAGTGTTGAAAGTGAGAGCACCCAGCCCTGCCTTGAGGCCCCTGGAGCAGATCCTGCTTCCCAGGACACCCCATCTCACTGGCCATGGAAGAGTGGGTGTGAGGTCTGGATCCTCCTTCAGCCTATGAGGCCTGAGCTTCTTCAACACTTCATTGCCCAGTTCACTGCAAACAACAGGTCACCCAGTGGCCATCAGACCTCCCCCTCCCACCTGGAGGCTCAGCTTGTACCTTTGGGTCGAGAGAGAGAAAGAAACCCCCACGCCTCTCAGAGAACTGACCATGTCTCAGGATGACCAGGAAGAAGAAAGCCTCTGTCTCTTCTGGAGGCCCCCGCTTCCTCACACGGGGTCTCCCTCGGGTGCAGCTGCCCCACCCGTGGCCTGGGCTGCATGTCCAGAAGTCGGGAGGGTAGAGAGCCAAGCCAGTCACCTTGCAGGATGGGTTACTGCAGGTCTGGGGCTTTTGCCGACACCTGGCCTTGGCTCCCAACCTCCTGCGAGTGCCTGCCTGGACAAGGAGACCCCGGACCTTGGGGAGGACAGCCCGGCCGCTCTCTCCTTTGGGCTCTAGGACACAGCAGCGGAAGAGGAGGACCAGGGGTAGGTGCGGGGCCCTGCAGGTCAGTCAGTTCTCTGAAACACTAGACTTTCTGACCACCGCTGCCCAGCCCTGGGACGCGGCTCAGGGGAGGCCAGTCTCTCCTGTCTTGTGCCAGGCGTGCGGGAGCCTGCGGATGAGCCGAACTGACCAAGTCAACACTGGAATAAAATGAAGCGAGCGGTTGCTTCTTCCTGGAAAAGCATCAGCAAGTCAACATGATGTCGGGCAGATCTGGGGAAGCGTCCACACTCGGTCAGGGCCACACGAATGACCTAGAACATGTGGTGTGAGTAGAAAGGACCAGATGTCAGTCTGCTCTGTTGTGGCCTGGCTGTCTGGTGGGCTGCCAGGGGAGCAGCCTCGGAGCAGCCTAGCCGCCCTGGCTCCTCCTAGGCCAGGTGTTCTCATTTGTCATCCTCTTCTTGGCGCCCCCCATGCCCCCCAACCTGTCCAGTCAGCTGTCAGTCCTTTCTGGGGCTGCAGGGAGGTGCTCCCCGCTGTCTCCTGCACTGGGCTGCCCCCGGCACAGAGATTGGGTCCCGGGCCCTCTGGGCTGTGGCAGGAAGGCAGGGCCTCCGATTTGGCATTCACTGCCACAGGCCACAGGAAGCGGCCCCATCTGAGCTGGGGTTTGGGACAGATCCCACCAACCCTGCAGGGGGAGGAGGCACCCCCTTCCTTCAGCCAGGGCCTCTCTGTTCCTGGCTGGCGTGGGAGCTGAGAGTGGTAGGAGGGAGCAGGGTGCTTAGCATCAGGCAGCCTGCCAGGGCCAGGCGCGAGTCCAGGCTCCACCAGCCGGGCCTGGGGTGAGCGCCTATCTCTCCACCCTTAGCGTCGTCGGCTGTGAGAGGGGACACCAGCAGCAAACAGTGCCCTCCTCAGAGGGGCTTGGAGAGCTCAGACAGATAACGCACACGAAGGCTGGCTGGGCGCCTGCACGCAGCTGGTGGCCGTCCTCGGTCATTCTCTGTACTGGGAAGCCACTTGGGCGCTAGTGTCCTCCTCCGTAAGATGGGGAGGCTGGAAGGGTAGTGTGAACACCAGGTGAAACCCCCACACACACGGTGTAAGGAACAGAAGCCCCCCGTAACTGGAGCATGCTGGTCCTGGGCCCCTGGACTGCCCTTCCTTTCGGGGCCAGGGGCTATGGCACCCAGGAAACAGCTGTGGAGTTGCTGCATGCGCTGTCTCTGTCCTTATCTCTGAGTTCGAAACTGAAGTGGGGGACCCCCCAGCTGGCAGCCACAGAATGGGGCTTCCAGTGCGCAGATAAGAACGCCCAGAGAGGGCAGGTAGCTGCCCAGGGGCAGCTGGGGAGCTCCCTCCCTCAAGCCCAGAGCGGCAGCCACAGCACCCCCTTTCTGTCTGCATTCAATCCCTTCATTCCTGCTGCTCTGAATTCATCTTTCAGTCTCTGGCTCTTTGGCAACCAGAGCCCAGGCCTAGGTGACTGGCTTCAGCCTCCTCCAAGAGCAGAGCTGCCCGGCTGGGGGGTGTGGGGATGGGCGGAGTGGAGGCTGAGAATGCGGGTGCTCTGGCCCTGGGGCCCTGGGCCGGGCTCCCCACAGAGGAGCCAGTGTGCCCAGACATTGGCGCTTTGTGAGCTGGGAGCTGGGACAGTTGTTTTTGTTGACCTGACATTGTTTCAGGTTGACTGAGCAGCAGCGTCTTAGCGCCCAGGGGCCAGCACTTTGGAGCCAGCCGGGGTCTTGGGGAGAGGGTGGCTGGGGCGCCTGGGTCTGGGGCACAAAGAGAAGGAGGCTGTCTGGGTCCTGGGAGCACCGAGTAGGTCCCTGTGGGCAAGGCAGCTGAGGGAGCTGAGTCTGAGGGAGGACACCCCAGAGCAGGAGGAGACAGCCAAGCATCTTGCGGCCAGAGGAAGGGCAGGGCAATGGCATCAGAGGTTGGGCCAGAAACCCTGGGAGCTCCAAGAACCCAGCCATCACCCCTTAGTCCATGGGCCCCAGGAGAACCCCAGGGACCAAGAGAGCCGCAGAATACATTGGTGCTGGCTGACCAGGGTGGGGTGGGCCCAACTCACAGCTGTCCAGATGTGGGTGGGAGATAACTCTGTTTACTGGGCGCCCAGCAGGAGCGTGGCAGGGAGGGGGAGTGGGTGAAAAGGGGCTCAGGGCCCATGGGGCGGGCAGATTAGGAGGCGGGGGCATGAGTCAGGGGTTTGTGAGCTGCCCCGGGGCGCAGCACCAGAACCTGGTGCTGTTAGAGCAGGTGTGAGCTCAGCCGGTCACAGAGGGCACCACCGCTGCAGGAGGTTCCGGGGGACCCCAGGCTTGTGAGCAGGTGAGTAGAGCCGGGAGGGGCTGGGGAGGTCTGCGCATCTGTCCTGAGGGTTTTTGCAGGTGCCTGGCCTGAATCTATGCCCAAGTAGGCATAGCCACACAGACCTCCAAGGGGGGTGCAGGTGGGTGGGGGAAGCACAGCACCATGTGTTGTTTCCCCTAAGGGCACAGGCCCGCTGGCATCTGGGCTGGGAGTGTCAGGGAAAAAACTGCACGTGGCAGCAGAAGCGTGTGTGGCTGCGGGTGGGGGAACAGTAAAGCCGATTCCCTCCAGGTGTGGGTCCTTGTCAGGTTCTTATTTACCAGCCCTTCAGATCCCCCAGACTTCGCTCTCACCTCTAGCCCACTCTTTCCAACCAGGATGGGGATCCCCAAACCACCCCATCTCCCAAAAAGGAGAAAAACCATCAGTCCCATTTGGGAGTCTACCAGGGTGACCTGGCATTTGGGGGGAAAGGAAGTGTCCTCACCACTGGAGGATCTCAGAGCACTTAGGCTAACTCCGTGGGGATTAAAGAAAAATCAGAGAGGGGTAAGGAGAGCAAGTCTGGCCTGACTCCCCAGCAGCCCCGGTGACGAGAGCAAACACTGACAAGGGCTTCCTGAGCCCACTCTGGCCTCCCGCACAGGGTAGGAACCCAGACTCCAACAGTCTACGAGGTCTCCTTGTGACCCCATTCTACAGCGGAGAAAACTGAGACAGGTTGAGTCACTTGCTCGAGGGCACACAGGCCATGTAGGTAGTGAGAGGGATTTGAACCCAGGCCGTCTGACTCCAGAGTCCGTACTTTATTATTTTTTAAGATTTATTTATTTATGCATACAAGAACAGGGGTACAGGCCAGAGGTGTGGGGGGTGAGAGGATTCACCAGAGACAGAGTGGGGAACAGAACAGGCAGACTGACTGAAATACACTGCTGAGGGAAGCAGCGGGCGAGTCAGGAGAGGTCTGCCTCGCCATGTGGGTTGCTCCCTGGCTGGGCATCAAACTCATGCTGCAGTGGCTGCGGGGTTGCATCTTAACCCCTTGCACCACCAGGGAGGCCCAGAGTCCCTACTTTTAATCACTGTCAGTACAGCCCTGTGCAGGACAGGGTGACTCTGCAAAGGAGGTGCTGTACCAGCGGGCACATCACATCACCCCAGCCTCTTCCCAGCTGTGCTCTACCTCCTGGCTCAGATGCCTGCTCCCCTTATCTGGCCTTGCCCTGGCTGGTTGGCCAGGTGTTTGGTGCACTTCCAGACACGGGCAGCAACTGGGGGCCAGGTCTTATCAGTGCCAGGCAGAATAAGGTCTACAGCTGGGGGTGCTGGGTCTGTGGGAAGCAATCAAGGTCAAGGGTGTATCTGAAAGGCCCCAGTGAGCGCAAGTCATCTCGAGGCTCCCCTGCTTCCTCTCACTGCTGCCTCGGGACCTCCGTGGGAAGACCCTTGGTGGGAGGGGTGGCTGAGGCCAGGGTGGAGGCTGCACTGCCATGGCTATGCTGGCTGGCAGTGCAGAGAGGCAGCCTGGCCCTCTGAGTGGCCCCTCTTAAATGGGGGACTGAGGCCACAGTTAAAGTCACATGTTGGGACTGTGGTACCTAAAGCTTGGACTTCTTGAGGCTGCCAGGAATCTGAGAGCTGGAGACAGGGGTGGGGGGTGGGCAGAGAGGGAAAAAGAGGATAAAGATGGAAGCAGAGGAAGGAAGGGGATTTTGGGGACCAGAGAACAAGTAGGAAGAAAAAGGTACAGGACCAGGGCCCTCGAGGGGTGCTTTGGGGCCCTCTGTGGCCATCAGTGCCTCACCACCACTCTGAGGCAAGAGACCCTGCCTTTCCCAGTTTGTTGGGGCTCAGTCATGGCCCCTCTCCTGGCCCCAGGGCTAGTGTCCCCTTCTCCAGAGCCTCCAGCTCCCCAGCCCAGCCGTGAGCCCTGCTCTGGCTCCTGCAGACAGCCTGGCCACCCAGCGCACCTGCTCCTCAGAGCTGAGTTTGTCTGGGGGCCTTTATCCCCTGGATGGCGAGTGCTGCCAGCGAGGGAGCTTCTGGAGCGTGGGGAGCGTGTCTTGCTCATCTCAGCGTCCCGCTGCTCAGCCCCATGCTGAGTGGGCAGGTGTGTCAACCTGACCCAAACCCCTGTCACCTCAGTGTCCTGTGCTGCAGTGGGTATAGGGGGAAGGAAGTCCCTGCACATCCAGGGTGGGGCCACCCCTGAAACCCCTCACTCTCCCCGGCTTGTCCTCATTTTCCTGGGGTGGGGACACTTTCCTCTCTGCTGGAGACACAGCTGGGAAAACGGAGGCACAGGGCCAGGGTCTTCTGCTGGACCCTTCTCACCCTGGCTGGACCCCAGGGCGCCAAGCCAGCAGTGGGACACCGCTCCGAGTTTTAGCCAACATGTGCTTATTGAACACCTACTAAGTGGCAGCCCTAGGGGTGCACGGGCCAGTGGGGACTGAGACACGCAGGTCTCTGCCCTCCCGCGCCTTCCCTTCTAGGGCTGTCGTCAGACAATAGATCCACCGTGTGCACCGGGACAGTTTGTGAATGTTCGGGTAGTAGGGGGGGGCGGGGCTGGGAGCCCGGGGGAGGTGACATTTGAGGGGAGACTGAGAAGGGCTGAGGGGGAGGGGGAGGGCATCCAGCATATCACGACTGCAGGTGCAAAGGCCCTGGGGGGGAAGGGGCTTGGTCAGGAGGCCAAGGGGCTAGGTGGGGAGAGAGGACACCACATCACCCCGCTTGCGAGGTGCCGCACAGACAGCAGCCATTTCTGTAGAAGGGGGTCTTGTGGAGTCTCTCGGGCGAGCTAAGCTCCCTGAAGGGGGAACAGTCATGCCCCTCGGGCTGCCTACTTGGGGGGCAGGCAGGAGAAGCTGGGAGAGGGCTGGAGGTGGGAGGAAGGAGTTGGCTATGAAGGTCACACCCGCATCCTCTCCAAACACCCTCCACGCCAAACTTCTTCCCTGCGCTGCCCTGTCTCCACACCCCTGCAGGCCCCCCCACGTCTCCACACCCCTGCAGGCCCCCCCACCTGCACATCCAGCCCCGTCCTCCAAGCCCCCAGCCACGTCCTTCCTCTGACCTCACTGTGTCCCACTGCGCGGGGTCCCCCTTCCCTCAGAGGCAATGCCCTGGGGGGGGACCAGACACCCCAGCGTGCTCAGCTGTGCCCCTCCCCGCAGGGACCCACGGGTTATGCTGGAGGCTCTGCCGCAGGCCAGCCGCACATCCAGTCAGCGCCATGGGGGACTCGCAGGTGAGTCCATGGGGCTGCGGGGCTCCCACCTGGGGACTCCTGGCAGGGGCCCGCACTCCTGTCCTCATGGGGGCCCAAGGGGATCCCTCGCAGCCCAGCCCTCATGGCCTCTTTCTGCAGGAGGATTATGAGGAAGGGATGGAGGAGATTCTAGAGCAGGAGGAATATGAAGACCCAGGAGCACCCGTGCCCCAAATGGAAGAGCCAGAAGGTGAGCCCCCTCCTCCCCTCTCTGCTGGGTCCCAGACAGGGGCAGCTGAGGAGCTTGTCCTCCCCTTCCACAGCGCCCCCCCCCCGTACCCCCCCACCCCCCTATTACACCCCAGCCCAGGTCTCCCATAATCCTGGTTGATTGAAGGATAAACAGTTTTGTTTGAAATGATCACAGGAGGTGACTGGGGGTGGAGGCGGGGTCAGTCACCCGGCACAGTGCCCCCTGGATGGGAGAGGGCAGCAGGCCCCTCTGGACAAGGGCGTGAGCCCACAGGCTGCCTGTCTTGTGAGTGCTGCCGCTGGGCCAGGCCCTGGGCCACTTCTAGAAACACCTTTCTGTCTTGGGGGTCAGGGTCCTGAGAAAGGTGGCTGTGGGGTACCCCTGGGAAGAGACATAAAGAAATCTTCCAGGGCTTGTCCAAGGTCTTAGGGGAGCCCCCGGCCAGCACCTGTTTACTGTCAACAGGGCATAAGTGCTGGCAATTGGTACCGAAGATAAGAGGCCCCTCTGGGAACTGAGGGGTGGGAGGGTGGGGGGAGATATAAGGAGCAGACCCCCGGCCCGCCCGGCACTCAGAGCTCAGCTTGGGGCTGCGAGCAGCTGCTGGGCTGGCGGGATCTGTGAGGCAGGTGGGAATAAGGAAGGGCTGTCCCAGAAGGTGGCGGGAGGAGACCCTGGCATAGGCCTGCGAACGGCCGTTCAGGACTCTCTGGTCACCCGGCAAGGACCCTCCCCCTCGCCCTGAGGATGAGTCCCAGGGGTGGCGCGCAGCACAGACGGGAGCCACAGTCTGAGAACAGGCGTGAGAGCCACAACCCACTGTGTGGCAGGGGTGGAGTGGGGGCACCGGCCCAGGGGCAGTGGAAGGGAGTAGAGGCGGCTCTGGTGCTGCTCTCGGGGCTCAAGACTTGTGGTAGGTGATACGGGGGGGTCTCGAGGCGGGAATTGTCTGGGGGCCACGCTAACTGGCATCTGGGTTTTCAGCTCATCCCACCGAGCCAACAGCCACCGACTATCAAACTACATCACACTCGGGCACCCACGAGGTGAGGACACTGCCCCCCCCCCAAACATCTTCCATGCTGCCCTTGCAACCCACCATTCTACCAGAGAGGAGCAGACAGCTACAGGGTGGGGGAATCCCACAAACAGGCTAAGAAGGAGTGGGGGTTCTGGGCAATAGAAGGGCAAAGCACACGCCCCTCTGCTGGGGCCCCCCAGGCAGAGAGAGACTGACTGCTGGAGGTCACAGCCCCCCAGCCCTTTGGCCCTGGCTGGGCAGTCAGGTGCTCTCTACGGAAGAAAGCCATGACCCCACTGGACACCAGACCCCCTAGCCAATGAGGAAACTGGGTCTACCCTCAGCTAGGCCAGGGAGGAATCACCTGGCCCCAGAGAACCCCAAGTGTATTCTGTGGCCACTCACCAATCTCAGAGGGGAAATACTGACCCAGTGACCCCAAGATTCCCTCTCCTTCCCTCCCAAGTGCCCCTTTGGTCTGAGATTCTCCAAATGCCTCTGAAATGGGATGAGGGGCCTGGTCAGGAAGTTGGGGGATAGAGCAAGAGAAGTGGGGTACACCGAAAGGACCCTGGAGCATCCCCCCTTCTCATCTCACTCAGCCCTCCAGAAAGGCTGTGACTCCCTGGGTTCGGAGTCTGACACCTAGCGCTCCAGGGCCCTGAGAACCTGCTGAGGGCCCCTCAGACCTGGGGTCCCAGTCTCCCCATGGCCTACCCTGGGCCCCGGGGACTAATTCAGGCCTGTTGGGCTGCAGATCTATGTGGAGCTGCAGGAGCTGGTGATGGATGAGAAGAATATGGAGCTGTGCTGGATGGAGGCAGCACGCTGGGTGCGGCTGGAGGAAAACCTGGGAGAGAACGGAGTCTGGGGCCGCCCGCACCTGTCTTACCTCACCTTCTGGAGCCTCCTGGAGCTGCAGAGAGCCTTCGCCAAGGGTGAGCCCTGCCTGGTCCCTCTGTGGCCCCTGCCCTGTGAGGTTTGGCGGGGGGAGGAGGGCCGTGGCAGCCACCAAGCTCACCCTCCACTGCTCATAGGTTCTGTGCTCCTGGACCTGCCAGAGACCTCCCTGGCTGGGGTGGCCAACCAGCTGCTGGACGCGTTCATCTACGAGGAGCAGATCCGGCCCCAGGACAGAGATGAGCTGCTGCGGGTCCTGCTGCTCAAACACAGGTGCCCCTGCCTGCCAGGGCCTGACGCCATGCTCAAAGGGCCACCTCCCCAGCCCACCCGCCGCAAGGTCTCCCTGGGGCCCGGATGGCTCCTCCTTCCAGGCCAGGGCCCACCTTTCTTCCATGATGGCACCTGCGGCTGACACCTCCAGAGAACAGAGCCTGAGAAGAAGGCCCTTCCTGCCAGCCATTCTTTTTTTTTTTTTTAGGATTTATTTATTTATGCATATATCAATAAACAGGAAGTAGGCCAGAGGTGTGGGGGGTGAGAGGATTCACCAGAGAGAGTGGGGAGCAGAACATGCAGATCCACTGAAATACACTGCTGAGGGGAGCAGAGGGTGAGACAGGAGAGGTCTGCTGCGCCATGTGGGTTGCTCCCTGGCTGGCTGGGGATCGAACTTGTGCTGCAGTGGCTGGTGATAGCTTGATAGTGCTGTCTTTAACCCCTGCGCCACCAGGGAGGCCTGGTGCCATCCATTTTGTGGCTCCACCCAATCATTCCAGATAGAGACCACCCGCTTGCGTCTGGATCATCCTTCTGGGGAGGCTGGTTCTCCAGGATCTCTCTAGTCTGGTCCCCGGAAAGTCCTACTCTGTCCCTCCCACTGCGTGTCTCCACTCTGCTGGGGGCCAGGCCTGAACAGCTGACTCAGCCATGTCCCCTGTGTCCCGCAGCCATGCCGGAGACCTGGGGTCCTTGGGGAGCGTGAAACCCGCGGTCCTGACACGTTCTGGGGAGCCCTCACAGCCTCTCCTCCCCCAACCCCCCTCTCTGGAGACTCAGCTCTTCTGTGAACAGGTGAGGATGTCCCAGGGGTGTGGGGGGAGAGTCCCCAACCTGAACACAGAGGCAAGTGAGAATGGGTGGGGGAGGAGGAAGCCCGGGCATCTCGGGTCCAGAACATTGGAGGATTCCCCTCCCACCCTCCTTCCTGCAGGGAGAAGGCACAGAAGGACACTCGCCATCTGGAATTCTGGAAAAGATCCCCCCGGATTCAGAGGCCACCCTGATACTAGTGGGTAAGAGGCCAGTGTCCCCCCACACTTCTCACCCCCTACTTTTACCTCCTGCCCTGGCTCAGCCTGCCTTTCCCTAAACCTGGCCCCATCAGTGCCCGCTTCACCTGGCCTGACCGCCTCTCCCCGCCCCTCCCTACAGGCCGCGCCGCCTTCCTGGAGCGCCCTGTGCTGGGCTTCGTGAGGCTGCAGGAGGCAGCGGTGCTGGAGGCCCTGGAGCTGCCAGTGCCCGTGCGCTTCCTCTTCGTGTTGCTGGGACCCGAGAGACCCAGCACCAGCTATACCCAGCTGGGCCGGGCGGCTGCCACCCTCATGTCAGAGCGGGTGAGGAGGGGCTGGCAAGGGCGGGGGACCCCAGGTGAAAGCCGAGGCCCCTTCTCCAGCCGGGACTGGACTGTGTGGCTTTAGCTTCTCTAGTTCGGCCCATTCAGGCTAATCCAGCTGCTTCTGTCCTGTCTGGCTGGGGGTGGCCGGTCCGTGTCCTCTGCCTTCGCCCTGCTCCATCTGCCCTGGTCCAGTCTGCACCACTTGGACCCTGCTCGACCCAGTTTGACCTTGCCTGGCCTAGTCTTCTCTAGCTCCCCCTGGCCTGCGGACACCCACTGCTCTGCCCCAGTCCTCTCGCCTCTCCCCATTCAGCCCCTCTGTCTCCCCAGAGCTTTCACAGTTGGGGTTGGAGAGAGGCAGGGAAAGCTCTTCCTAGCAAAAAGGAGCTAAGTGACACCTGGAGTCGAGTCCTTTCCTCCAGCGGGTCCAGGTCCCCTGAGCCTCTCTCCTGTCCCCAGGTGTTCCGCACAGAGGCATATCTGGCCCAGAGCAGGGGAGAGCTGGTGCAATCCCTGGAGGGCTTCCTGGACTGCAGTCTGGTGCTGCCTCCCACAGATGCCCCCTCCGAGCAAGCGCTGCTCAGTCTGGTGCCGGTGCAGCGGGAGCTGCTGCGGAGACGCTACCTGCCCAGCCCTGCCAAGCCCGACCCCAGCTTCTACAAGGGCCTAGGTACCTGCCCTGCCCAGCCCAAGGCTTTCCAAGCCCCCACAGGCCCTCAGACACCCCTGCATAGTCCTGTGAGCACCTGCCTCCCCTCTCCCCCTCAAATATCCTGGTGTCACCCCTCCCTGTCCTCCTGACTCCCAGCTGCCCTGGCCACTCCTTTCCCATCAGACACTATCCCTGACCCCCTCTCTCCACACCTCCCCCGTCACCCCTTGTGACCACGGTCTTGTCCTTCACTACAGACTTGAATGGGGGTCCAGGGGTCCCTGGTGGCCCGGACGACCCTTTGCAGAGGACAGGCAATCTCTTTGGGGGCCTGGTACGTGACATCCGGCGCCGTTACCCCCGCTATTTGAGTGACATCACGGATGCGCTCAGCCCCCAGATCTTGGCTGCTGTCATCTTTATCTACTTTGCTGCCCTTTCACCTGCCGTCACCTTCGGTGGCCTCCTGGGTGAGTGCCCCTCACCTCTGGTCCTTTGGCCTCTGTGTCAGCCCTGCCTTCTGACCCAGTTTGACACTCTACACCCTTGCCTCTGTCAGCCCCTGAAATGCACCTGGAAATGTCTCCTGACCTTGACCCACTGTAACTTCTACCCACAGGAGAAAAGACCCAGAACATGATGGGGGTGTCGGAGCTGCTCATCTCCACTGCTGTGCAGGGCATTCTCTTTGCCCTGCTGGGGGCACAGCCCCTCCTCGTGGTCGGCTTCTCGGGACCCTTGCTCGTGTTTGAGGAAGCCTTCTATTCGGTAGCTGTTCTGGCCCCACTGTGGCCCTGGCTCTGGCCCCGCCTGCCTCATGCTGGGTGCCCAGGCCCCACTTGTCTGACCCCAGCTCCCTCTGGCCACCCTGCAGTTCTGCCAGAGTAATGGCCTGGAGTACATCGTGGGCCGTGTATGGATTGGCATCTGGCTCATCCTGTTGGTGGTACTAGTGGTGGCCTTCGAGGGCAGCTTCCTGGTCCGCTTCATCTCCCGCTATACCCAGGAAATCTTCTCCATCCTCATCTCCCTCATCTTCATCTTTGAGACCTTCACCAAGCTGGTCAAGGTGGGGGTCCATGGGTGTCTGGGCGTGAGCGTGCCTGTGAGACTGCAGACACGACGTGAGCGTGTGTCATGATGCCGTGTCTGCGTGGCCTCGGCGTGGCTCATGGTGTGTGACTGTAATCACATCCATACTGACACCTGCTCTCTGTGGCCTGGTATTCTTACCATGACTGTGCACGAGAGGGCATCTCCCTGTGCATGTGCACATGTCTGTGTTTATGGCCACACAAGGAGTGGCAAATGGGCGAGTAGGTGTGAGACTAAATGTGAGGAACTGCATGCATGATGGGGGGCCACGGTTCTGGATGCTCTGGAGTCCCCTCTTCCCTCTCCTGCACTTGCTGTCAAGAGCACGTGTATGCTAGAGCGCCTGCCTCAGCTCTGTCACCCTTAACCATGCCTGCATTTGCATTTTATGTGGGGGAGGGTAGATGCTGTGATTGCTCCTGATTTTGTTGGTTGGTAGGTGTTTCTATTTCCAAGTCTTTAAAACCCTTTTAAGGAAACTTCTCGGCAATTCCTACCCTCCAGTCTCATGTCTCCTGGGTGCTCTCATGTTCATATGTGTTCGTTGCCTCCATGGCCCACCCACATACCTAGCCAGGTCCTCCTGAAACCAAGTTGTAGAATCCAAGGCCTCTCTATCTCCATGTCAGTTAAAGAAGATGGATGGATGGATGGATGGATGGATGGATGGGAGGATGGATGGATGGACAGGCAAAAGGATGAATGAATGATGGGTTGATGGATGGATGGGCGGATGGACAGGCAGAAGGATGAATGAATGATGGGTGGATAGATAGATGACTAGATGATGGGCAGATCGGATGGATGTGTGGATGGGTGAATGGAGAATAGATGCGGGGAAACAGGACGCCTTGTGTTTTTTTTTTTTTTTTTTTTTTTTGCTGCAGATCTTCAAGGACCACCCACTGCAAAAACATTACAAGTATAACGTGACAGTAGACCCCAAACCTCAGGACCCGCTGCCCAACACAGCCCTCCTCTCCCTTGTGCTCATGGCTGGAACCTTCTTCTTCGCCATGACGCTGCGCAAGTTCAAGAACAGCTCCTACTTTCCAGGCAAGGTCAGTGTATCCTCCCGACCTGCTCTTGCCTACACTGCCCTGTCCCACTCACACCACCCCGCCTCTCCCCTGCCACTTCCCGCCTTCTTCCCTAGAATCCCACTCCCAATTCCAAGCCTCCCCGGCCCCCTCCTCACCCAGGGTTTCACTTTTCTGGCAAGCCCACCTCCCCTTCCAGCATGCTCAGGTTGAGAACCCAGTGGGGAGCCAGAGATAGTTCTTAGAAGGGCGTGGAGAAGCTGTGGGGCTGCAGTGGAGACTGGTTCAGAGGAAGGAGAAAGGAGATCCACATATTAAGGTGCAGGACAGAGCATTAAATACTGATGGATGCCCTGGGAAGAGCAGGGCCCCTAGGTGAAGACGGGGCAGAAGCGAAGGCAAGAGGAAGGCGGGCGGTGAGGGCAACTGGGCACTGACACTGGTCCCTCACCTACCCTCAGCTGCGGCGGGTCATCGGGGATTTTGGGGTTCCCATCTCCATCCTGATCATGGTGGTGGTGGACACTTTCATCGGGGACACATACACCCAGGTAACGCTCTCCCCCTCCCCTCCTCACCCCTAGTTCATTTCCCCAGCACCTGGCCTCCCCAAGCAGCTTCCTCAAACCTGAAGTCAGCTAAATCTACCCTTAATCCCTCCCGCTACCCCAGGAGCCCCAGGTTCTTGCCATAGCCCCGCTGAATCCCTTTGGTCAAAGCAAAGACTTGGACCATATTGTCCTTTACTCCTTAACTCGAGGCAGTAGGAAAGACGCTCAGCATGAATCTCAGTTCCGCCATCAAATAGCTGTGTGATACAGAGCAAACTATACAGCCTCTCTGATCTGGTTTCCTCACCTGTAAAGTTGGGAATGAGAAGAGGTATATAAAGGGCTTCGTTCAAGCAGGGGCTCAATATAAGTAGGTTCCCAAGAGCCCAGGACGCTGGCTCCCCCTACCCCCACCGCAACCCATCTCCCTTCCCAGAGTGTTCTCACCAGCGCCCCCTCCTGCAGAAACTCAGCGTGCCTGAAGGCCTCAACGTGTCCAACACCACTGCCCGGGGCTGGTTCATACACCCCCTGGGCTTGTACAAAAAGTTCCCCGTCTGGATGATGTTTGCCTCCGCCCTGCCCGCCCTGCTTGTCTTCATTCTCATCTTCCTGGAGTCCCAGATCACCACGTAAGAGCAGTGTGGGGCTGGGGCTGGGAGGGTCTGAGGCAGGTGGGCAGGACAGGGAGGACTGGACTCTAGTCTTAACCATGTGCATGACCCTCCTGACCAGCAGGAATGATGGACAGGTGGGTGGGGTTGGTTCTGGCTTTGTGGGACCAGACAGTATATCATCTGGGGAGCCCTTTTCAAGAAAAAGACGACTAAATGAAGCTAAAATGTATAGGTGCTAGATCTTGGAAGGAGCCTCTTCCAGGGAGGCTCTCTACAATCTACTCCAGTAGCGTCTGGGTGGATCTGTCTGTGGACATTCTAGGAGGTGTCTGAAGACACTTCTGCTCGTAGAAGCTAACCCATCTGAGTTCTCATCTGGGTTCCCAGGAGAGGGCGGGAGGGAGGGAAGCAAGACACTTCAAGGGAGAGGGCAGAGAAGGACAAATTGAGGTACAGAGGGACCCAAGTATGGGAACGGGAGGAAGGGGCAGTGTGGGTATGGTGAGGGAGAGCCCTTCTTACCCTGACCTTCCCCGCCCTCAGGCTGATTGTCAGCAAACCAGAGCGCAAGATGGTCAAGGGCTCCGGCTTCCACCTGGACCTGCTGCTGGTCATGGGCATGGGCGGGATAGCTGCTCTCTTCGGGATGCCCTGGCTCAGTGCCACCACTGTGCGATCTGTCACCCATGCCAATGCCCTCACTGTCATGGGCAAGGCCAGCGCCCCAGGGGCTGCGGCCCAGATCCAGGAGGTCAAGGAGCAGAGGATCAGTGGCCTCCTGGTCTCCCTGCTTGTGGGTAAGTGAGGCCACACTCCCCACCATGCTCTGGCCCTGCCCTGGCCCCCAGCCCTGCCCCTGAGGACCCAGTGCACCTACCACTCTGCCCATTGGGCAGCCAGACCTCCCCACACTTCTGCCCACATCTTTCCAGCATCATTTACTTACAGGAGAGAATTCTGGAGGAAATGTCCAGGGCACTGGGCTGGGCTGTGAGCAGGGGAGGCGGCTACTCCTCTACTGAGGTCTCAAGGCATGACCCTGTATCAGAGTTCATCCGACAGAAGCTCAGTGAACTCTGGGTCCAGCCCTGTCCTGTCAAGTGTGTCTCCCTGTCTGGGTCGGTTTTCCTGCCTGCACCATTACAGGATTCGTTAAATGCCTGGATCTCTCGAGCTCAGTTGTACAAGTTACAGTGCTACAGGCATAATCTGAATTTGGGGGAGCCAGAAGGGGCACTGGGGTTGATCCAAGTTCTGGAACAGCTGAGAGTCCAGCTGAGTTTGGTGTGGACAGCCAGGGAGGTGTCTGTGGGAGCATTGGGGTTTGGGTAGGTGGAGGGTGATGGAGGCATTTGGGGCTGAGCTGAGTGACCGCTGATCTCTGTGAGCCTCTCTCGTTAAGGGAGCAGGTGCTGCAGGCAGGCAGGAACCCCTGTTCTCTCACTCACTCCCTGGGTGGCCTTAGGTTGGTTCACCTCTCTGAGCCCATTTCCTCATCTCTAAAATGGGGACGATACCGATTAAGAGCATCCATGGGGTGCCTATGTGGTCTCACTGTCCAGCCCCTCTGGGGGGATCATCAGGGGCTCCTGGGGCTGACAGTGTGTGGTTCTCCCCACAGGCCTATCCATCTTCATGGGGCCCATCCTGTCCCGCATCCCCCTGGCTGTGCTATTTGGCATCTTTCTCTACATGGGGATCACCTCCCTCAGCGGCATCCAGCTCTTTGATCGCATCTTGCTTCTGTTCAAGCCGCCCAAGCACCACCCAGATGTGCCCTACGTCAAGCGGGTACCCTCCTGGGGGGCCCAGCCTGGGTGGGGGTGGGCTACGGGCGCCGGGCAGACAGTAACCCCAGCCTCCGCCCGCAGGTGAAGACCTGGCGCATGCACGTGTTCACGTTCATCCAGATCATCTGCCTGGTGGTGCTGTGGTTGGCAAAGTCCCACCCCACCACCTCGCTGGCCCTGCCCTTCATCCTCATCCTCACCGTGCCCCTGCGACACCTCCTGCTGCCCTTCATCTTCAGGAACCTGGAGCTCCAGTGTGTGAGTGGCTGCTGGGGGCCTGGGGCAGGGGAGGGTGCAGAGAGGGCAGAGACGGAGACAGGACTCCTAGAGCTGGGGCGGCAGAGGGGTCGGGAGGATGTGAGAGGTCTTGGGCTAAGGAAGGCGGACAGGCATGGTTAAGGACTGGGACAAGGGTCTGCATCAAATCCTGGGCCTGCCCCGTCCTAGTGTGTGATCTCCAGCAAGTGACCTCATTTCTCTGTGCCTCGGGGCTTGCTCCCCTGTAAAGGGAGGAGCAATGACTGGGTGGTGGAGGCTTCCGAGTCACGCGGGGTGTGCTCCCCACTGTGGCCCGTCCCATGTTCTAGCAAACCATTTTGGACAGTGTCTCCTCCAGAACACAGGTCTCTGTGGGGTGCTCGTCAGGGTCCCGGGCCCCCAGGGGCCCCTCACCCTTTGGGAACCACTTGTTTAGACCGACCCTAGGAACAGAGGGAGCAGGATAGTTCTTTTTTTTTCTTTTTTTTTTTTTTAAAGATTGATTGATTTATTTATACAAGCACTGGGTACAGTCAGAGGCGCGGGAGGGTGAGAGAATTCACCAGAGCCAGAGCAGGGGGCAGAGCAGGCAGAAGGACCGAAGCACACTGCCGAGGGGAGCAGCGGGCGGCAGGAGAGGTCTGCGCGCCATGTGGGACCCTCCTGTGGTGGCCGGGGAGCAGCTGGGGAGCGAACCAGCGCTGCAGAGGCTGCGGGCAGCTTCACAACCCAGCGCTCAACCGCTGTGCCACGGGGGAGGCCCAGGATAGTTCTTGTGAAGATCAGAGGCAGGCCCTGTCCTAACCCCAGGGGAGGTCTCAGTGCATGGAGGGCTCATTGCTCACCCGCCCTCCTTGCCCCGCTCCTCCAGCTGGACGCTGACGATGCCAAGGCGACCTTCGACGAGGAAGACGGTCAGGATGAATATGATGAGGTGCCCATGCCTGTCTGAGGGGAGGGCCCAGGACCCAGAGCCCCCTCTGCCACCCCCTTCCCCACTTCCCCAGGAAAATCCGAAGTTCATGGACACCTCCCGGATTCCCAGATCCCTCCTGGGGCAGCAGCTGAGGCCCTGGGGCTGTGGGTGGGGGAATACAGGGGTATCTAGGAAATGTTCCCTAGCAGGAAGAATGGCCATTTTAGAGGATTTGCTATACAGTCCCTCCTGCTGCCACACTGAGGAAATCCTGTGCTGGAAAATGTAGACCCGGCGGCCCCAGCTCCTCCGGCACACAGGGGGCAGTAGCTAGGGTAGAAGTAGGTTGGGAAGGTCAAGTTCCTGCTGCTGTATGACCTTGGGCAAATCCCTGGACCCAGCCTCTGCTGGGTATACTGATGATAACACCCACATCACAGCATGGTTGCTGAGGCCCTAAGAGAAATGTGAACAAGGGCTTCTGTAAGCTCGGAAAGGACTAGTATACAGTAGTCATCACTCTTCTGCAAGCCTGCCCGAGGTCACACAGCTCCTGAGCCACGCCCTGGGCTTCAGACCAGGTCTCCTATGTCTGAGGCCAGACCTCTGAGCTCTACCTTAGATGGTGGCAGCCCCTGAGGACTCCTCCCTTCCGCTCCGCTCCCACCTCCTGCCCTGGGCCCCCTTCTCTGGGGCAGAGGGAGGTGTCCTGGTGAGGACAAAGGGCAGGTGAAGGCACGACCAGGCTAGGACTCAGGACTCCAAGTGCCTGCTCCTTTCACCCATGCCCTCATTCATTCGCTCATTCATTCATCACTAACATTAATTGAGGCCCTGGCTCCTGTGGACACAGGTGACTGAGACCAGACCCTGCCCTGGGGAGGGGGGTGGGGGGCAGCACACAGTCTGTTTTAGACTGGGGTGGGGGGAAGCGGGGAGGAGGTGGGAACACAGGGAAGAGGTGGGGGATGTTTGTAATTTATTGTGTATTTTCTTAGAGCTTTCAATATATTTTGGCTTCACACACATATACACGCCCTGGCCCCTGCTTTAGAGCCCCAATGTCCCCAACCCCAACCAAACTGAATCTTGGGGAGAACCCAGATTTGACCAATTAGTGTAGGAGTCAATGGGGTCTGTAGAATATGGGCAAAATCTATTTTTTTACAAAACAAAAATATAAAAAGAGTTGAAGGAACTAGATGTGGTGAGAGAGAGTGGAAACTGGGAATCAGGGTAAGACAGAAAAGAAAGGAGGTTGAGAAGGCCGACACTTCACCGTTCTAAGCCTCAGTTTCCTCATCTGTAAAATGGGAACAATAATGGTACCTACCTCGTAGGGTTGTTATAAGGATTCAGTGCGACAGTACATGTAAAGCACTTGCTTAGCGCAGAGCCTGGCCTCAGGCCTTGGAGAAAGAGCTCAGTCAACATTAGCTGCTGGATTGTCACCCTGATGGGGATGTCCCTGCCCCCTCCCTCCCTCTGCTCCTTGGTCACTGCTAAGAAAAGTGGAAACATGCCAGCCATGCTGTAGCGCTTCCCTGTGATGCTTGGGAATTGGTGTTGCCAATAAATGTATCTGTGGTGGAGTAACTGCCTGCTGGGCCCCCTCCTGGCGCTGGGGCTCCAAAAGGCGGACATGGGAAAAGTGGACCTGGTAAGGGGATGCAGCCCTGGGAGGGGCAGGAGAGCCAGGCCGGGGTGTGCTGGAGCTGGGGGCAGCCAGGGCTGCTGGCTCTGAGCCCTCGGGGTGGAGAGGTCAGCTCGTGGTAATGAAAGGAAGACAAGTTGACACTTGGGACCGCCTTCCTCTGGCCACAAGCAAGACCCAAGGTGTAGGGGGGAGGTGTCAAGGGGGCCTTGCCCCTCCCCCCTCTGTGCTTATGGATCCCACATCAGCCTCTTACTACCATCTCAAGCTGGCAGCACTTGGGAGAGGATCACCAGAGAGGAAAACCAGGTCGGAAGAGGGTTTGGCCATGGGAATATGACTTGTCACCGGTTCCAGAAGAGCGACTCCTCTTGACCAGCTTTTGCTCGCCCACACCTTTGTCCCTTTGGAGTCTCTGCCCCTAAACCCAGCCCAGGGGGCTGCTGGGCCAGATATGGCCCATCCCTGGAGAGAAGGCTGCCAGGACATAATCCCTCCACACCTCCCTTCCTAGTCCTCCAGCGAGAGGTCAGTGCGGGCCTGGCTGCCTGGCTTCCTTCCCTGAGTCTATATTTATTTGCTGTCTATCCCCGGCTGACCCCTCCCAGGCTGGCCTGGGTGGCCACCAAGGGCCAGAGAGCTAACATGGCTCCAGAGAGGGCAGTGCCAGCCACCCACCTCCCACACACAGCAGCTTCCAGCCCCCAAGGCCCTGGCCTTCTCCCCAGGGCTGGCCAGGACCCTAACCCCACCCAGAGTGGGACGGCATTAGGGAAATGTAAAGGCTGCAGAAATGGATGGGTTCCACCTCCGGGCTGCCTGAGACCTCACTTCCTTTGCACTTCCTGCCTCCCCCACCCCATCCTCTCAGGATTTTCCTTCTGCCTCCATCCAGCATGCCCTCCCCACCTACACACACACCCTCACAATCTGCAGTTCAGTGCATGGCTCATGCCATTCCCACTCTTTCGTGAAAACTCCCCCAACAGGCCTTAACTGTGGGAACAAGGGTCGCCCTTTTGTGGTTATGGGAATTCAACAGAATCAAAAACTCTTTACCTGAAGATGTTCTTTGCAAGACTATCTATGAAAGCAAGAATAGAAGAAAGAAAAGAAAATGAGTGAGAACCCAAATACTCAGAAATAAGAGCAGTTAGTAAATTACAGTAAATTGCAGCACATCAACACCATGAGCCCATAGGCAGGCTCCAAGTGATGATTGCTCTGAATAAGCCTTTGGATCAGTTTGTTGTAACAAATGGTCTTGGATCTTTGAGGCCAAGGTGTTTGGAATTCTAGCTTTGTGATTTCGCAGGAATTGGACAAAGAACCTCATCTCTGAGTTCACTTTTCCCCATTGGAGATGATCACACTGTTACTGAGAAGATAATTTGAGATCATATACCTCGAGGTCCAGGCCCAGTGCTGGCATTTAGTAAGCGAAAGTTCATTCCTGTTTCTTAAGTAAGGCACAGAGGGATGTAACCGTCCTGGTGACAGCCGTGCAGACAAATAGAGCACAGGAATGAGGGTTCAGGCTTAGACAGAAAGAATCAAAATGCCACAGGGGTAGAGTCCTAGGCGCGATCAGACTCCCCTCCCTTCCTTTTGTACTTTAGGTCCAGAGGGCTAAGTTAATCATCCCCTCGGTATGGAGCAGATCACCATTGATTATTCATCCCTGCACCCTTCCTTCTTTTTTGGGCTCATATGCTATTTCTTCTCCCCACCCCCATAGGAGCAACTCATCTGTGTAATATGTTCTTGAAAATATGGTATTGTTTTAAATTTTATTATGAACATTTTAATAATGCAAAATAGAGATAATAGTATAATCAACCACCATATACTCATCTCCCAGAATCAAAACTGCTCAAGATTTTGCCTTGAAATCGCACTTAAATCTTTGCCTAAAATGTATATCTTTTATCTTTCTCTTTTTCTTCCTTTGCCGAACTAAATCATTTTAAATCCTGAACATCATGCTCTTTCACGCATATATTTTTCAGCTGTGCACCTCTCCTCCCATCCCATGGAACATTTTCTCTCTCTCTTTTTTATAATTTTTTAAAAAAATTTTTTTATGCATACAAGAGCTGGGGTACAGGCCAGAGATGCCGGAGGTGACAGGATTCACCAGAGACAGAGTGGGGAACAGAACAGGCAGATTGAAGTATACTGCAGAGGGGAGCAGCGGGCAAGTCAGGAGAGGTCTGTTTCACCATGTGGGTTTCTCTCTGGTCAGCCGGGGATCAAACTCATGCTACAGAGGCTGCGGATTGCTTCATAGTGCGGTGCTTAACCCCTTGCGCCATCAGGAAGCCCCTTTTTTATAATTTCTGATTACAAGAACTGGGGTACAGGCCAGAGGTGTGGGGGGGGGGCGGTGAGAAGACTCACCAGAGACAGAGTGGGGAGCAGAACAGATTTTACTGAAATACTCTGCTGAAGGGAGCAGGGCACAGACAGGAGAGGTCTGCTGCGCCATATGTGGGTCAGCTCCACATTTTCTTAGTGCAGTGCCATCATCACACCCAACAAAACTAACAGTAACACCTTGGTATTATTACCATGCAATCCATAATCAAACAATCTGGGTGTGTGTTTCTATATATTATCAGAGTTGCCTTGTAGGTTCACTCTTCAGAGTTCTTCTTTTCCCCAGCACTGTGGTTTTAAAACACACCCAGGGTGCAGCAGACCTCTCCTGTCTCCCCCGCTGCTCCCCTCAGCAGTGTATTTCAATAGATCTGCCTGTTCTGCTCCCCACTCTGTCTCTGGTGAATCCTCTCACCCCGCCCCCTGCACCTCTGGCCTACACCCCAGTTCTTGTATGCATAAAAAATTTTAAAAAAATCTTTAAATAAATAAAACCCCCCAAGGCTGCTCAGTGAACACAGAGTTGCTTTAAGTGCTGTGCAGGGACCCATGGGGTCCCTCACAGTTGGCATCTCCATTCTCCCAGGAGGAAACACTCAACTGCACACAGCTCCCCTCCCGCAAACATCATTACAGTGCATGTCCTCAGGCATACCCCCTACAAAATCTGGTGAAAATCTCTGTGGGTTGTATAGTTTAGGGATGGATTTGCTAGGTTATAAGGTAGATTATGTCTCTCAGTTTGACTAAACTTGGTCATATTTTTCTCCACAATGTCTGCACCAGTGCACACGCCCAGAGGCAGCCCAGGAGGACCCTACACCCCCAGCGATGGACATTGTCCAGGTACTATCTCATTGTTGTTTAATTGTCATTTCTCTGATCACTAGAGAGTTGAGCATTTCTGCACACCCACACACACATATGTGTATCTTTTCCTGTGATTTGGTTATTGAGGCCAATGCCTTTTTAGATGTTGATTTGCATGAAATTCTGAAAGGTTCTATCCTTTGTGGTTTTAGACCTTGCAAAAATGTTGTCCTATTTTGTCACTTGGCTCTTAACTTTATCTACCTCATTGAAGAGAAATCTTTAATATTTATATAATTTAATATACCCAAGAGGAAGAGTCTGAAGTTGACTCAGCAAGCTCTAGGGAGTCAGTGCAGATTCCTGAATTGGGAGTAACATGATTAAAGTGATTCACCAGGAGGACTGGTTGCAAGAAGGCAAATTGGGAATCTTTTCACATAAGTGAATCAATAGCAGAGTAAGGGAACGAAGCCACAACCCCAGAGGACCTCCAGTGGACATGGGAGCCAGGCCTTCAACAAGGGTGATGAGTGTCTGCAGGGAGTGGTGGGGGCAGAGGGCAGCTGGAGTTAGGTAGGCAAGATTTCCAAGAAATTTCCTGAAGATAAAGTGGGTAAAATTTGTTCAGCAAAGTCAAGTGACATGGTAGAAAGCCTGCTGGGTTGGCAGGCTACCTGATGACCTCATACTAGGCACCTGAGCCCAAAGCCAAATGACAGGAGTGAGGAAGGAAGGGCTGGTAAGGAAGCAGAGCAGGAGGTATGGGCCAGGGGTACGTGGCAGGAGTGCGACAAGCAAAGAGTGCCCCACTGACTTATTTCCGGAATGAACCAGAGAATATTTTGCAGTCCAGGGAAGACACATTGATAAGCATGCAACCATCTAATTCTTTCCCTTTAAAATATCTTCATATTTTCAAATTTCAAATATTTGTACGTTATAAAGCATCTAAAATTACAGAACTATTGAATGCAGAAAATAAAAACCTCCAATAACCATCCCCCTGTAGCAACTGTAAATAAT